CCCACCCCAAAAACAAGATCATTTTTGGAAGCGGAGGACCCACAGCATCCCCAGCCGCACACAGCGGGGAAACAAGCCCCCCGTCAAAGCCAGCCCCCCATCACATAGCGCCTTACGTTGCAGAGCGAGTGCGTTCGATGCCGGGGCGACGACCGGTCGCCCTCGGCCGCAGAGGCGTCGGAGATGATGGACGGCTGCCGGGAATGACAGGGACTCACTCTGACCGCTGGAAGGCAGGGGGGGCACCGGGGAGTTAACATCACGCCAGCAAACCTGACCCCACGCAAAGCCTCTGACGCGCTTCCAAAAACCCTATTTTTGGGGTGGTTTTGCCCTTTTGTTTTCTTCTATAGGGGAATAAGGCAGCTCCTCAAAATGGGTTTGGATCCTTGGGGGCGGGGAGGCTCACCTTGCCGGTCCGCCGAGTGCTGGGGGTGCGAGTGGTAGAGGGTCTGCTGGCTCTGCCGGATGGCGGCCGTCAGCGGGAGGTCGGCCTGCATCACCCACTCCTGGTTGCCGTTCAGCACCGTCTCGCCCGGCATGGCCAAGGAATGGCGCTTGGGGACGTCCTTGGTCAGCGTGGCGAGGGACTGCTTGGCCTGGGGGAAGGACACCAAGGTGGGGGGGGGGGAAACGTATTAACATCTCCCAGAGCAGCAGAACCGGCAGCAACACACCGCACCAAACCCACCCTCCCCCTCTGCAAGTAAATACCCAAATTGTGTTGCTCCCTGCACCGAGGACATCCAGCTCCTTTTTAGTGATGGATTTTTCTTCTGCCAGTATTGCAATAATGCAACAACTGCAGCAAACGCATGCACGCAACAACTGCAGCAAACACTTAAATGCAATACTGCAGTAAGTATTTAACTTCAGCAAAACTCGCCGGGGTGTTTCAAGCACTCGAGCTGCTGAGCCGAGGGCCCGCAGCAGCGGCGCAGGGCTGACCCTCGAGTCGTGCCCGCTGTGTTATCGAGCTCACCATGGCCAGCTCGGCCTCCAGCTCCTTCATGCGGTTGTCTTTCAGGTCGAGCTGGGAGCGGAGGGCGCTGGCGTGGTCCGTCGCCTCCTTGGCTTGCCGTCGCAGCTCCCACTTCTCCCGCTCCAGGAGATCCTTCTCCTTCGCCAGGGCTTTCACCGCGTCCTCGCTCTCCTGCCGGGACACGGGGCGGCCATTAGGAAGGGGAAACCCACGCGCTACTACAAACCCCTCTCCCACGACCACCTCAGGGACC